TGTGTGTGTGTGTGTGTGTGTGTGTGTGTGTGTGTGTGTGTGTGTGTTGAAAACACTGATATTTATGCTCACATCTGGCTATGGTCCCCGCTCATGACAGGATCCCCTCTCAGGATCAATATTGTGTGCAACCTTAACATTCTGACGAAAGCTACCAAGCCTGGGGGCCTGGAGGGCTGTGAGGGAGTAGAGTCCTGGAAAATTAAATGGATGGTGTCAATGGGTGGGGCCTCTGTGTGGCAGGGCTGCTTGGGAACTGTATTTCATGACATGATGGCATCTGCAGCTGACAAATGGGCCCAGGCAGGCTATCAGGAACCTGGGTGGCCTAGGGCTACCCTGTGACACTTCAGACAAAATACCTTGACCTCATGCTGAACTGAGACTTTTTCCCCTAAGTGTGCTGGTTCTGGTCTCTTGTGTGGCCGCTGGTGCTCTCTTGAGGGTGGCCAAGTGTACAGGGAGTCCTTGGCCATAGCACCAGCTCCAGGGCCAGTCGCCAAGGCTAGCTGTGAACCCCAGCTCCCTGTGTGAGTCTCCCTGCTTCCTTCTCCCCTCCTGGCAGGGTATCCTCCACCCTCTGGGGCCCACCCAAGCCTAAGATGTTTGTTGTGTGACACCGTATGTTATGGATTTTAGAACTCTTGAAAATCCGAAGGGTTCACCTAAAAGTGTGGGCATCCGGGTCCACTTAGTGGGTAGGAAGACGTGGATCATCTGAAACAAGTTATGGTGACCTCTGACTGAGCCGCTCTGCCACAGTTCCCTAAATCTGCCTGTTGGCCTGAGCCTTTTGAGGTGTCACTCATTTTTAGTCCCTACCAGACATATTCAGGCTGACTTTGTTATATCCTTCAGACATGTAAAGCTCATATGAGTGCATGAATGCACATGCCAAAACACACATACACAGAGAGAGAGAGAGAGAAACAGACAGACAGAGACAGAGAAAGATAGAGAAACAGACAAAGAGACAAAGACAGACAGGCAAAAAGACAAAGAGACAGAGACATAGACAGGAAGGCTCGGGGTGGCCTGTTCTCACAGAGATTGTGGCAGGGATGGATCCAGCTGCACGCTGTCACAGAAGCAGGTGATAAGAAGAGGGACTAAAATTGGACATGAGCCCCCTATCTTCTATAACTGCAGCTCCTGAGAGGAAAGGCAGACAGGCGGAAGAGCAGCCTGGCCAGTCCTCCTAAAGCATTCCCCACCCTAAGAAGGAGAATCTGTTCTCCTTACTTCCCTTCAAGCTGAATTCCTTCACTCCACCCAGCCCAAAGTGGCAAAGCAGAATTGACGTCTCTCAGTTCTTCCTTCTTTGTGGAAGGAAGTCTCTGTCAACTGCTTCCCGATATGGGAGGGGATTGGAGTAGCTGGAGTGGGGCAAAGTACCTGGGAGACAGTGACTAAGGCCAGCTGCTGAGAAGAGGTGATGCCGAGCTGACTGCCAAAGGCTGAGTAAGAATTTTCCAGACAGAGAAGGAAGGGAGAATTCAGGTAGAGAAGCCAAGTGCAAAGATCAGGACCGTCAGAGGGGGGCTTGTATCCTGGAGGTGGGGAGATGCTACCATCTATCCAGCGGGACCCGAAGGAGTTGGGAGGAGACAAGGATGGACACTCCGAGACCGACAACTGTGTGTGCCTTGTATGCTGGACATAAGAGTGAGAATAACATTTCCCAAGTTAGGTCACAAGTCTTTGAGGGTCCCTTCTCAGGGATCTTTCCAGTGGTTCTGTGGTGCTCTGTTGTTTCTAAGCACTTATTTGTGTTAAAAAAAAAAAAATTATCTTCCCCCATGCTGTAGAATCTCACACAGTTTCTGATCATCCTGTGTCTATCTCCCAAGCACTGGGCATGACCACCACACACAGTTTATGCGCTGGTAGAAATTTAACCTAGAGCTTCGTGTATGCTAGGCAATCACTCTGTCAGTGCCCCCACATTTTAGTGCCCCCCAAAGTTTATTTTCTATGTTTCCACTCACAGCGCCGTGCAGCAGATTGAGGTGGGAGATCGGAGAAACCACAGTGCCCTGTAGCGGCAGACACAGATTAGCAAAAATGGAAAGCATCAGGGCTAGGGTCTGCGTAGCATGCGTGAGGTCTTGGCTTGGTCCCCAGCGTGGCACACAAACATAAAGATTACAAGGAACGAGGTCACGCTCCTCACCACAGCTTTTGAAAATAGGTATTTCCTGAAACCTGTTATTTTGTGCTATTTATTTTATAATGGGGTCGATGGCTAATAATTTAAAACAGCAAAAAACAATTTTTCAGATTCAATTTCTCATCTTAGTAGGCATAATATACAGACCAAAGTTCTTGAGGAGCATCGATAATTGTTAATAGTGCAAGAAGATGCTCTGAGATGTGTGTGTGTGTGTGTGTGTGTGTGTGTGTGTGTGTGTGTGTGTGAAGTTTACTAGGTAAATTTAGGGCCAGTGGGGAAACTGAGGCAGAGATAAAGTAGGCTTGTATTCCTGGCAGGGAAGCAGAACAGGAATGTTTCTTTTCATTCTAGAATGTTCCTTCCTTACCCTTCTTCCCTCAGGTTGTCACTGTTGTGCACAGACAGACAGACTGACAAAAAGATAATCAGAGTCCTTGTGGGTGTGGAGCACAATGATGAGGGCCTGAGTTTCCAGGCTGGGGCGTGAGTAGCCCTGACCACATCCGGGTGGTGTGGAAAGCTGTCTGTACCCTGGCTCCTCCCTGGGAAGCTGGGAGACTGGTACTGGGGAAGTCACATGACACAAACCTGGGGCCGACAGCAGATGCTCATCGAACCTTTGCTGTTGGTACTGTTTGGTGCCTTGGAACAAAAGGGATTTATTCTCAGACAGTTCTGGAAGCCAAAAGGATGGCATGGTGGCACCTGCTGGGCCATACTCTGTCCAAACTCTAGGAAAGAACCGTCACTCCCAACTCCCAGACTCTGGAGGATCGAGGCCTCTTAATTACCCAACTCTAATCTCTGCCACTGTCTTCATCCTGCCTCTTCTCCCTGCACCTTTCTTCTGCTTTCTTTTATTTTGGCACAGGATTTGTGTAGTCCAGGCTGTCCCAGAACCTGTGATCTTCGTGTCTCAGCTGAAATTCCGCTCTTGCACCATGGACCCCCACTTCCTCTGTTACATCTTGTCATAGGAAGAGCTCACCTTGAGATTTCTCACTTCATTCCATCTGCAAAGACTTTTTCCCAAATAAGGTCTCATTCACAGGTTCCCGTGGTGAGGCTGTGACCATATATTTTGGTGTGTGTGTGAGGCAGGGCGGGGGGGGGGTGGTGGTGGTGGTGAGGAATCCACAGTTCAATCTACTGCATTCTTTAAGATGACCTCCCCACCTCCTCCACCATGAAGGGAGCTTAAGAAGAATAATTCAAGGTCACTGGCCTCAGATTAATCCAGCTGCAAGCCCATCCCCAAAGAGAAACAAATGAGATAAACCCAAAAGTCTACCCATATTTACAAGCACCCATAACCTATAGATCAAGACACCTTGTTGTTATAAACTTGTCACCTTAGTCACTTTCTCACCAACACCATCTGTGTGACATGATGCTAATGGACTACGGGCCCCATTGCTCAAGAGCCAATCCTCCATCGTCCCCTCCCTGCCTCAGATATCCACATCAGCTAAAGTGGTCAGCTCCACACAGGTCCCAGCTACATCCTTTGGCCATCCGTGAGATGAGGTGTTCTCTTTCCTTGCTACCTCCCAGTTGCTGGTGTTTCAGAAACAAACAAAGCAAGAAATATTGTCACAGGGCATATTGACACACAGGCTTGTGATCCCAGCACTTGGAGGCTCAAGTGGAGAGGCTGCAAGTCAACGCTTGCCTTGGCTGCCCCGGGAAACTCAAAGCAAAATGAAACGATGTATACATGCGCACACATGAACTTGGTGGTGGTGAGACAATGAAACAACGTTGTTAGATCTGTTGGTGGTTATGGTAGTTACTTGTCTCAATGCTGTAAGAAAATATCCGATAGAAACAAATCCCAAGGGGTCTGCAACCTCCCCCAAACTCCCCACCACCTGTGAGCTGGTGGGGGACATTCTACTGGCAAACAGCAACGTCTAATGTTGAAGAAGAAACCCCCCCCCATGCCCCTCGTGTCACGACGACTACTTTGGCTTAACTTGTCTATGACAATCACACTGGAAGGTGACAACTGCATTTATTTTGCTTTTTTTTCATTTTATTTGTTACCAACACACATTTGTTGAGGACTTACCATCAGGCAGGTTTACTTCCGACCACAAACATAACCCCTGGGTCTTTTAATTTTAACACAATCATCATAGTGAACTTTTTAAATGGCTTCCTAATGATGGAATTGTCGATATATGTATTGAGGAAGGGGAAATAAATAAATCCAAGCAAACTAAAGGACATTTGTTGACCTGCTTTGTGGAAAGGTCAGAGGTAACTTGGCACAGGCTACTTCCAACACTCACGGAGCTTCAGGTATGGCTGCAATCAGATATTCAGGTGCTACTGCTGAGGACCCATGCCCACTGCCTGGCCTTGCTTTCTCCAGTCTGTCTTCAGTTTTGTGCATGTTTTCCTCAAGGAGCAGCGCACTGGATGCCAGGATCTGTAGCTCCTCAACTACTAGCTAAGCAAGGGTACCGGCAGACAAAGACCTTTCCTTTTCTCGAGAGTTCCAACAGACGACCCAGAGCAGCTCTCATTAGAACAAGGCAGGTGCTGTGGCCATCTCTGTCTGGGCTAGTCTCTGCAGCCAGGGAGGGATGTGGTGCTGTCATTGCTCTGGCCTTGCTCTCATGCTCCGCCTGTGACCAGTGTTTGGCAGCAGCAGCTGCCGGGAGCTCTCAACTCCTCCATCCCACTGGGGCAGCTCTCTCTCTCAGATCTGGTTTAAATACAGTTCTTTCACATGGGATCTTGTTGTATATGAGGACTCTTTGGGGAGTGGGTGGGGGAAGCACTTATGGGCCAGTGAAAAGGCTCAGCAGGTAAGAAAAGCTGCTGCCAAGCTTGAGAATTTGAGTTTAGTCCCTGAGAACCACATAGTGGCAGAGAGTACCAACTCCACAAGTTATCCTCTGACCTCTACAGTCACACAATGGCACAAGCTACCTGCCCCCTCTGATCTGTGTGGTGTGTCGGGGGGGGGGGTAGGGGAAGGGAGGGAGAAGAAAAGGAAGGAGAAACACAAATAAATAAAACTTTTAAAAGATTAAGAACACTTGAAAAACAAGTAATGTTAGTGTCTTCTACCTCCAAATAGAGAATACCTGACATTTATTTTCTTTCTCTCCTCTAAGCCTGCTAAGTTACCTGTTTGTTTTTCTTTCACTTCGCTGCTTTTCCCTTAATCTTTCCCCTCAATGCTTCTTATTCCAACAAGGGCACAGAGGCAACAATTTGCCTACTCTGGTACGGTGGGGCCAAGACAGCTGCAGGACCTCTCCCTGGGCTCGTCCTCTAATCATGCCCAGTCAGATCTTCCCCTGTTCCACCCCCGCCCCTCTGGCTCTCTGAGACCCACTGTGATTTAGGAGTTTTGGCTGTGACCCGGTAGTTCTGCCCTGACCTCTCTGGTAATGGAGTCCTCTCTCCTGGCCCAGGTCCTGGCCATCCTGATGGATGTGTTCACGGATGTTGAGATCTTTTGTGACATTCTAGAGGCAGCCAACAAGCGAGGGGTATTCGTCTGTGTGCTTCTGGACCAGGGAGGTGTGAAGCTCTTCCAGGAGATGTGTGACAAAGTCCAGATCTCTGATACTCATCTCAAGGTAGGGGTTGTACCCTGTATCCATCAGATGGGACAGTGCTAGCTAATGCCTCATCTCAAAGAAGCCTTAGTTCTTGCTCAAATTTCCATATAGGCCAACCAGCCCTCTTCCAGCTTATGCTATGTGACATATGAAAGTGGACTTGATAATTCTAAAGGATATCATTAGGCTCTGACCCGGGTGAGATTTTCACCACTTTCACCTCTAATCCTTTGACCTTGATGGAATGATTGTGTAGGGCCCTCAAAGTTTCAGGGTGCTGCCAACACACAGGCTATACCTTCCTTTCCTTCTATCCGCTTTGAAAACAAAGTTGACATGCCTGACAGCACAGAGCCACTCATGTGTTTTGAGTGTTAGGTGATAGTGGTTCACGCCTTTATGGCAGCACTTGGAAAGCAGAAGCAGGCAGATCTTTGTGAGTTCATGGCCAGCCTGGTCTAAATAGTGAGTTCCAGAACAGCTAGAGCAAAAAAATGAAGAAAAAGAAGAAGAAGGAGGAGGAGGAGGAGGAGAAGAAGAAGAGAAAGAAGAAGAAGAAGAAGAAGAAGAAGAAGAAGAAGAAGAAGAAGAA